CCAATTTAACACTATATTAAGTTTTAAACAAATTTGCTTCGCATTATGGATCAAGGCACCAATTTAACATAAAATTTAATTTTCTCAGTGTGTTAGACATATCTGGTGGATATGTCTACCAGATATGTCTAACCATGTTAGATACTGATGATAGGTAAGATACTGTGATGATATGTTAGATACTGTTAGATATTTAGGAGCGTGTTGAACTCTAATATCATTCAAACTTGCTACAGCCTTATTATAGTACAAAATTAAGACACGTTATCGTACTTCTTGAACATGATTGCACGATACTGCAGTAAAACTTGAACGGGAACATTGTCCAATTTAACACTATATTAAGTTTTAAACAAATTTGCTTCGCATTATGGATCAAGGCACCAATTTAACATAAAATTTAATTTTCTCAGTGTGTTAGACATATCTGGTGGATATGTCTACCAGATATGTCTAACCATGTTAGATACTGATGATAGGTAAGATACTGTGATGATATGTTAGATACTGTTAGATATTTAGGAGCGTGTTGAACTCTAATATCATTCAAACTTGCTACAGCCTTATTATAGTACAAAATTAAGACACGTTATCGTACTTCTTGAACATGATTGCATGATACTGCAGTAAAATTTGAACGGGAACATTGTCCAATTTAACACTATATTAAGTTTTAAACAAATTTGCTTCGCATTATGGATCAAGGCACCAATTTAACATAAAATTTAATTTTCTCAGTGTGTTAGACATATCTGGTGGATATGTCTACCAGATATGTCTAACCATGTTAGATACTGATGATAGGTAAGATACTGTGATGATATGTTAGATACTGTTAGATATTTAGGAGCGTGTTGAAATCTAATATCGTTCAAACTTGCTACAGCCTTATTATAGTACAAAATTAAGACACGTTATCGTACTTCTTGAACATGATTGCACGATACTGCAGTAAAACTTGAACGGGAACATTGTCCAATTTAACACTATATTAAGTTTTAAACAAATTTGTTTCGTATGATTCAAGTTACCAATTTAACATAGAATTGATTCCTCACTGAGTGTTGACATATCTTATAAATAGGCTACACTGATGGAAATTTAGTAGTGTGTTGAACTATGTGATCGTTAGAGTTAGCTACAGTCTTATTATAATGCTAAATTGAACCATTTTATTATACTTCTTAAACGTGATTACACGATACTGTATTTCAACTTGAACGAAAACATGATTTAATTTAACACCGTATTAATGTTTAATCAAACTACATGGTATAGTATGGTTCAAAATATACCATGTTTAATGTAACGCAGAAAGGATTTGTTTTTAATTGTGAAGCATGTCTATAAGGTACACTACGAAAAAAGCGTAGTCAAAACTAATGGAATATGGTAACATTTAAAATTTATCGTGTGTTCTGGTTCTATGGGAACAACAAAAAGAGCGGTAGTTCTTATCGAAGATTGGTAATGATTTAAGTAAAATTAACGATAAAATATGGTTTTAGAATACGTGATAAAATTATGTAAATGTAGTTAAATTTGGTAGTTTATATCTTGATACCATAGAGAATGCCATAAAATTAATTTATTCGGTAAATATTTGGCATATTTCGATCTCCAGTTTTGTAGTTTTACTACATGTGTGGTAATAAAAACTTCAATTTTGGAAATTAGAACCTTGGGTACTCTGTAACCATATAAACAGAAAAATTTCCAAAAGAATGGTTTAAATACCGTATATTTTAGTTTGATTAAATAAAATTTTAGAACAAATTGTTTATTTATCAGACGTGTCACTACCGTAGAGTACGCTAATTTTTAGGGATACCGAATTTTAATTGGTGTTATAATATTTCAGGAGCACCTTATGTTTTTCAAAAAATATCTTCTAAAATACTTATGCTGCTATTACTGAGCTAGAAATTTATTAAAATGTAAACTTAACCTTATTTTGCAGAAGCATTCAACAATAAAAAAAGAGTCAAGCATGCATTTTAAAGCAAAAAAAAAACAAATAAATTTATGAAATAATTTGTAAAATGAGACATTCCTCCAAAGCCATCATGCTTTTATTTTTTAAAAAAAATTATTTTTCCATCGTTTAAGTGAGTCTAAGAAATTTCCTCGAACGCGAATATTAAAATGCCAGTCACAGTGAAACTTCCAAAAAATAAATACTTGTCTAGACGATTAAGTTTTATGACGTAAAACTTTTAAATTTCTACTAAATGAAGAAAATATTCCGAAATAACAAAATGCAATGCTTAACACTACTCAAAATTGGTAATTTAAAAGTACTCACAGTTCCTTCGAAACTTTAAATATCAGTTTCCTCTTCTCGTTTTTTCCTGTAAGTCAGTTTAAGTTTAGCTTGAATTATTTATTTTTAAGTCTCTGTTCCAAGCTTTTATTTTGGTGATTTGCAGTAATCCTTTTATCTCTTTAAACGCGTAAAGCTACTTATAATCATTTTTACAAACACTAGAAGAGTTCGTTAAAGTTGGTTTTTGCTGTAATAGAGCTTTTGCGTTGCATTTACGTTACGTTAACAGAAACGCAAACCTTATTTCCCACGTTTTAGAGATACTGAGCATGCACAGAAATAACGTATTATATCTTACAAATAACGTAGGAACGTTAATTTTAACGAAAGTATTTTAAAAATGGAGAACAAAAAAATGCCTAAGTTGGTGTATTACAGAAGAAATATCTCTTCTCAGAGAAGTTTTAGCTTTGTTTCCTCATAAAGATCCAAAGCGTTATAAGGATGTACTTGAAAATAAAGTCAATGCTATTAAAATAAAAGTTTCGTTGCGGAATACAAAGTAGCATATAGAACAACATCTGAAGCATTTGAGGAGAGAAGACAGGTCGAATTTGAAAAGTAACTGCTTAACTCTTTATATTTTCTCAATTTCTTTGAAAATGTGAATATAAATTTGAAATGATACTTATTCTAACCGCAATATACATGCATACAATATGTACTCCTACATTTACTATGCTTGCTATCGTCATTTGCAATATATGTATACTTTATGCATACCTATCTTTGATTGAATCGATTGCAGAGGGTGATAATTTTAAAAGAAGATTATAAGAGTGAAAATTTTAATTTTTTTTATAAAAACTAATACTAAACTTTCTATATACTAAACTTTTTTCAGAGAGAAGTGATAGTGGAAGTAAAGATAAAAGTTTGCTGTTTATCGCCAACTCACCTTATTCTGCCTATTTCTCTCTAAGTCGGCGATTCCCTCTGTACTAACTATTATTTATATTAGCGCTAATTTTTACAAACTTGGTGTTAATCAGCAGAAACTAATGCTAAGTGTCAGGTGACTTTATTTATTTTCACTATTTGTTCTTGCTAAAGAGAGAACAAAAATAGTTTTTCAATATTTTCATAATATTGCACTCTTTTAAAATTATTGCAAGCAGCAATTGACCAAAATGATTATAGAAGATAGGAGTACATGTAGTATACATACATTGCAAATAGTATAAGCTTCGTTTAAGATTTATATTCACATTTTCGATAAAAATGAAAATATAAAGAGTTAAGTACTTATTTTTTACACATTCGACCAATGTTTTCTTCTAAAATGCTTTAGAAGTAGTTTAATAATGTATGACGATTATTTTTATTTCTATTATTCGAATTAGTACCATTTCTTCATTAGTTTTGCTTTTTAGTAGAACATATTTTTTTTTTCAATTACAACCTATTAGCAAGTTCTATTGCATGATTAATCAATTGTGCTTCTTGCGGAAACTGCGACAATTTCAGCAAAAATATTACCTCTGTGGCGTATCTACCACTATGATTATTAAATATCAATTCAGTAGTATATAAAACATGTTAACTTGATTAAATCTTGAGGTACCTTTTGATAGATGAAGGTTGGCATTGTCTGATGGTTTGTCCCCACATTGGTGACCTGCGAACGTGATATGATCACGACTACTTCGATGTATGGTCGACATTGAACAGTTGACTTGCTATTTGTGATTGTGTCATTGTCCTCCTAGCGGCATTGCTACTCAGTCTTATTAATACACAACGGGATCCTGCACTCTCGAATGCTAATAGCAACACAGGAGTGACCACACACACAACCATAAACAACTTAATATAGCTCTCATGGCTAAAGCTCAAAACCCGGTGACCTTAATCCACCTCTCCCGGTCTCTCACAAATACAGCAACTAGTGGTATTCGTTCATCGAATTCTACCCCTGATAAAATTCTGGTTGGGGAGTATTGTGGCGTAACTACCACTACGATTATTAAATATCAATTCACTAGTATATAAGACATGCTAACTTGATTAAATCTTGAGGTACCTTTTGATAGATGAAGGTTGGCATTGTTTAATTATCTTTCCCCACACCTCTATTATCTCCTTATTCATACCATTGTATATCGCCAACGTTTATATTTTGAAAAGTATAATGAAGATAAAAAATAATGAAAATAAAGACTAATGAAAATAAAGAAAAATGAAAATGAAGAATAATGAAAATAAATCAAAAATGAATAAATGTAAATAAAGAAAAACAAAAGCTTTCGGAGACGCAAACAAATGACGCACAAAGAAAACTTTGAGAAATAGCATTAAGGTACTAGCTTTTGTAAAAACATAATGCAAAAGCTGTATTTAAAGGCAAGCGTTGTTTAGACATTTATTTTTGTATTGCAAAGTGTTGTGAAATGACAACGCTTAATATATATTATTAGAATACTTGCAAAAATATGAGGGGGAAAATACGAATATCGAGGATTACAAATAAGTGTTTTAGGTGCTTTCTAACTGTGACCAATCCAAATCGAAATGAGTAAGAACAGAAAATGATTAAAATAATTTATTTCATTATTAAGCTTAGACGGCAGTTTTTGTGCTTGAGTTATTAAAATGAGGGTTTTTTTTCAACCAAAAGTATTTTAAATCGTTGTCACTCCATGTTAGTACAATAAATTGTGCTTATTTTTTTCAGGCCTTCCAGCAGTTGTAGTAATACCATGGGCTATTGTGAAGTCACATTTAGGACATTCAACGAATGCTCTAGCTGTACATGGGTCAGTATTTAATCATTCCGAAAAAAATTTATTTTATTTTTTTTTTTAAATTTACTTTCTTGTAAAATTTATATTGACCTTATTTTTAGTATTATAAGGAATATGATACATATGGAATATGTGTACTAGATATTTCTTAATGATTATCCTTAAAGGCATATTTTTAGAATGTTTGTAAAAAAAAAAATTAAGATTTAATTAAGTGCCCTACCTATAACTCAAAAAAAAAAAAAATTCAAATAAAACAAAGAAGCGCCAGCGTTAATACGTAAGACTCTGATCATTCTGTGTGAAGTAAAGCATAAATAAATGAAAAAAAATATGTAAATCACTTAACGAAATAAGAGATGAAATTTTATTTAACAATGCAAAATAAAACAAAATAATATTTGAAAGATAAAAAATTGTGAATAAGGACAAATTCTTGATATGTATGGCAACCAAATTCTTTGTATTTTCTCCTTATAAATGCATTTTTTTGAAATGAAAAAAAAGTTCATCACGGAACAGGGTATTCCTTAATGACAACCCTAAATACATACTATTAGTATCCTGGTAAAATTTTTGCAATTGTTATAGTAACTGCGCAATTCAAGTTTAAATATACAACTTTTTTTAAAATTTAATAACTCAAAAGCTCTTCAACCTATTTCGTTGAAATTATGTACTTAAACATATAAAGTTAGCTTCCTTAAGATGATATTAAAATTTTCCGTAACTTACAGATCAATTTTTTTTACTATTATTAAATAAAACATTTAAAAGTACTCTTTGCATGGAATTTCTTTGAGTAAATGAACTTTATAATTGGGTGCAAAACATTTTCGAATCGTTGTCGAAATAGTGCGAAATAAATGAAAAGTAACATTAATATTAAGGGGTCGAAACTTCTTCTGACCAAACTATTGGAACCACATTACGGCAGCCCTCATATTTTGAGACTCAAAAGATCGAATCTATCGAGAAAAAAAGGTGTTTATTCAGAGAAAATACGTCTTATCTCTGATTTTATAGCCTAAAATATCATATGCTCCAATTAATTTGCATATTTCAGATCATTAAGATTGAGAAAATGGGTACGTGAAAATCTTATTATTAGATCAAAAGTTATGCACGATGTATTTTTTATTTTGCGTACTGTACATTTGAAGTGCTAAGTTTTTAAATTTAAGAAAAATTTATTCAACTTAAATGCATTCGTCTCTTACTTATTTATTTGTAACCCCCGATATTCGTTTTTTTTCTTCATATTTTTGCCAGCATTCTAAAAATATATGTTAAGGATTGTCATTTCAGAACACCCTCCCTTTACCGTACATTTATATTTTTCCAAAAATTTATTTATGAAGAAAACAAAAATAAAACTGCATTATACTTCAAGAAGTTAGTCTTATTTAACTTTTTCTTATTTTCTAATGGATGGTGTTTTCGACACTAGGGAGCGCTGCAAGCTGTATGCCGCTTATACTTCCGGGTTACTGTTTCCGGTGTATTTTAAAGCCATTTGGCTCCCAACGTGATCATTGTGTTTTAAGATTCCGGCAAACGTAGTATTTGAATACTTATTACTAAACTTAACCTTGTTCCTCGAACAATATGCTAGCACTAACGTAATTTGGTGCACAGCTTGCAACGCGAACCAACAGTAATAAACAAACGAAAAAAGGCCAAATCAAGACTGACAAAAAAGCGAGTTATTCAAAATCTAGCAACCATGTCACCTTTTTTAACAATATATCTCTAAATAACAAATTTTCACTTCAAACTCACCAGAATTACTTAATAACAATAATATCTTATGAAATACGGCAGATTTGAGCTCAGAAATTATCTAATTTATTTCTTTTATTGAAAACAAAATTATCCGTTTGAAAATATCGCCTCGCAGAATAACATGTAGTAAGCAGCTGCAAACGTTCTAACCTGAACTAGAGCAGGCATACAGTTCGAGATTGTTATTGTTTACATTTCTACTGAAAACTCCATCCACACTATATATTTTTTCCTTTTTTTATTTAGTTTTACAACATTTAATAAGACTTTGCCATGTATTTTAGAATTATTTCTAAAACATAATTCGATGATTTCTGATTTGTAATTTATTTATTTTTTTTCTAATTTTAACCTTAGTACGACCTGAGTGATTTTTGTTTTGTTATTTCGAATTTTTAAAAGGTTTTAAACGTGCGAAATTTGCATCAGGCATAAAAATATCATAAATTAACGGTTTGCGCTTTCCAGGTGGTCCAAACTGACCCATGCGTCCTAGATTACTAAGAAAAACAAGTTTATTTCAAAACCTCTTTATATTTATGATTTACAATTTAATTCCTTAAATTTTATATTACATTTTATGCATAAGTAATGGTTAATTACTTATGCATAAAATGTAATGAAATGTGTGTTCTGTGATGAAACTGTATAAAGCCACATATATATTAGTATACATGAGTATATACTCATGTATACTAATATACATGAGTGTCAGTTGATACATGAGTATCAGCTGATCTTGATTGTATCAGCTGATCTGATTAAGGACTCAACTCAAAACGCAGACACCACACATTCCTTATATACTCTATGAGAAGTTTCTGCTTCATATATCCTCCAGAATTGATGAAGCTGGATTACAGGATCGCGTAGCTAACAGACATAGATGTCATAGGCACCATAGCTCTGCATCATCATTTGATTCGGAAGACGCTCGACCACGGGAGAAATTTTTCATCACACATTCAGTTTCACTATTACTAATTTAAAGTATAGAAAAAATTAGTTTAAGCAAAACTAAAGTAAGCCATAAAGTTTTAATTGCTGTAAAAAAATGGAAAATATCAAAATTTAAACAAATTATTGAACTAGAACTTCCCAATAGCGTTACCCTAAGTTATCCTCTCATAATTTATTTTCATTTTGATATTTGAAATTTTTTTTTCTGTATTAGAAATTTCCTGGCTTATAGTATAGATTTGCCTAAACTCACATTTTCTATACTTAAAATTCTAAATTACTTACGGAGGTGAAAAAGAATTTGCGATGAAAAGTTTCCCCTATGATATAGCTTCCTCTTCACTTGATAACAAACTTTAGTACATCTCTCTTGCGAGATGGCACAACTAGATCAACTAACATAGTCGAATTCCGCGGTTAAATATGACTTGAAACACAATTCAACCGCAACTCTAAGTTACTCACTTATTCCAAAACCGTTAGTTATTTATTTTGGGAAGTTTTCAGACTTGTTCAGAATTGTTCCTATTTCATTCCAGAAAAGCTTGTTTGTAGAGGAAAGGTTTCTGAATTCTGAAAAGAATTTCCTGTTTCTTACCAGAAATGTTATTGGAATAAATTAGGCATATTAGCTACCGATTATTTTCTAAGAATGTTCTTGAATTCTTTTTACGGTGATAAAAGCTGTTACATAAAGCATTTGCTTTTATTTCTTACAGAAGTATGTGAAAATTTCCTTGCAAATATTGTAAGAATTACAGAGTATAACAATACAATACTTTTTTTAAAAAATATATAATATTTTAAAGTGAAAAAAAGAACAAAATTTTTAGATCAAACGATAATTTTTACGTCACATTTTTAGAATCATTTTTCAATCTCCCATGTTAAACTTATTGTTGAATGATGCATAATAAGATGTGTTATTGATCATGTAATAGTAAATTTCAACATATTCCTTACAGAAATTTTGAAAACTAGGTCTATCTAAACTTTAACTATTAATTAAAAAGTTTAAAATTTAAAATGTAACTAAACTTTAACAATTTAAACTTTTAAAATGACTTCCTTCAAATATACATTTTAGTTTAAAAATTCTAAAACACATTCTTTAATACATTTCTAATACCATCCTTCTGAAATTCTTAGTTTCAACCAAATTGTTCTATTTTATCATGCTTTAGTTCATATATTACAAAACTTTCTCACACTTTCTAACTCGCAAAGTATTATTTTCGCAACAAAGAAGTGGAAAATTTGAATCTTTCATTTTCAATCAAGTTAAATGGTGGGAGAGTATATTTTCTCATCTGCCATCATTGTTTGATAAGAAAAAAGATATCCTGCATACAATGTTTCTCATTACTTTAGAATAAAATAACGTAAGACGTAAAATATATTTCGAATGCAATCGTCATTTTGGCACAGAATTTAAACATAAGAGATTTAAAATAGCTTTCCAATTTATTTACTTTTATTTTCAGTAAAGGTATTGAAAATAAAAAATTTCTTCACGACGCTTAAAATACATGTATTTCGTATCTCAGATTAATTTAGAACTCGTCTTAGAAGTGGAGTTTACTTTTTCTTTAAACTTTTTAAAGAAAAGACTTTTTAAGTAAAAATGTCATAAAACATGCAAAAAAAAGTCTTTTTTTGTCTTCCTTTTTTTACACGTTAATGTTGCTTTAAGTTAAAGTACTTAAAGTTTTATTCTAAAACCTTCTTTCTTTTGAAACACTGTTTATTACTTTTTAATTTTCGTATTAAATATTGAATATCAAAAAAGATCACATTTTTTAAAGAAACGATTTCTAAGTAATGTATTTTTCGATACGTTTTCTAGTTTCTTTTTACTTCACTTAAATAAATTTAGCAAAAACTTTTATTAAAAGCGCTAATTTTTTTTAAAGTTTAAAACATTTTTTTATTCATTCAAAAAAAATATTTTCATTTGGAATATTGCAAAAGGCTATTAAATAATCAATAGTAGAGGAATTGCTTTTTTGTTGAATAAATAAAGCAGATTAATATATTTTTTAAATTACATTCTTCTACAACAGTAGTGTATAAGTTGTGCAAAATACTAAATCTTATTTTAAATTTACTTTTTTTAGATAAATTTAACTAAATATCTCATTTAACGCTCTGAAAAATATTTATCTTTTTTTTTTTACTTTACAGTTAAAGTTCCCTTTTAAAAATTATTTGAATTTTAAATATCGTTAAATACTTTTTAGTTATTCAAGTTAAATAATCAATGTCAA